AAAGGTGTTGTGGAACTGTAAAATAGGAATTGAAGAGTTAAAGCGGAAAATAAGTTTTTACTTAAAAACACCGCTTTAATTAACGTTTGACTGATAAAGCAGAATTTGTATCGGGAAAGGATGAATTAAAGAAGTTTTTGCTCTCCCTTACTCTTCCTTCTTTTTGCAGCACGCTGTAAGAAAACTTTTAAAACGGTGCTGTCATCGCCTTCCTTTAGCTTCTCCCTCTTCGTTGGTTGTGGTCCCTCCATTTTCAGAGAGAGCACGTTGAGAGAAACCTACTTTTGTTTCGGTGCTCTCAAAGTTGGATGATTAAATCAAATTGAGTTTCTCCCCCATCTCGCGGAAACAGAGGTGCACTAAGTGAGAATAAGCTAGAACAATTTGTAGCACAGCATAATCCACACTTAACTGCTCCACGCAGTACGGTGCTTCAGTGACGATTCCTGTTACATATAAACGATTTTGGAGGCAAACAGCTTTGCTCACTTTACCTGCTTCACCTTCCCCTGTGCTGTCTACCTGTGTAAAAATTTTATAAAAAAAGGCTTTTGCCGTTTACTCTTAACTTTCCCCCTCTTTCAGTAAATGGTGATTTGAAGCGAATGATAAGAACTATTCAACAAGATTTGAAGGAAAGAGCGAAAAATGTCAGCTTTTGTTAAAAGATTTACACATGTCGATTAATGCTCTATAAATTGACTGTACAAAAGGAACCTGAAAGAACTTAAAAATGCATTTTTCCACTTCACAGGCATCCGAGTGGCATTAGCTATAGAACCGAACGAGAAGACCACAATACTCAAAGCTTTGTCAGCGATTGCTTTGAATTCCTAAAAACGGTGACATCACTGTTTTTTTGACAAGGAATATGGATCAATTCCCGCAGTAAAGATTTTGAAAATTAAACGTTAGGGAGAGCTGCTTACCCCAGTTAGTGGTTTTCCGATGCTTTCCCGTATACCTAGCCCACCGATGTAAACAATCTTATGTAGTATTGGCCGAGGAAATGCATACACCTCGTCAGAGTTTACCATCACTAGAGGACAGTTAGCTGCCAGTTCCTCAAGATCAGGAAAATCTGGATCAATATATCGTTTGAAGATTTCTGTCTGAGGAGAAGCGATCATTCTGAATTACCAAATTGAAAGTCCGAATTGTTTGCAAGGCAGAAAATGCTGCGTTCATTTAAAAATTTTTTTCTTTAGTTTCCTAGATCTATCGTATTTTATACAAGATATTGTAACACGCAGACCTTTTATAGAGAAGCGGTAAGACTGCCCATGTAGCAAAACTCTGAACCCGTTCCAAGAATGTCATTTCATCGCTGACGGGAGAAAGTATTGCTAAACGAACAAAGAATGCAGATTAGGATATCAAAATAAAGACTTTTTTTAAAGCTGCGGTTTAAGAGTTGAATGTAAATTTAGTAAACTTTACGTGGCACGTAGCTGCTAGGAGTATGTAATCCAACAATGTTTGCAATGTAGTCGATTATGGCAGCGTTGTTCATCCATATCCAGGCAGGAATCTGTGCAGCGTGAATCAGTCCAATACTGCAGAGACCCGTGTGCTCAGCAAAAGCCAGATCAAATTTTGATTCTTTCAAACGTTTCAAAAAAGCTTTGTTTTGAACCAGAACTGAAAGCACCATTTCACTGTTGAGAGAAGAGTGTATTGCTAAATTAGTGAATTGTGCAGAGGTGAAAGTTATGTGGAAGTTTCGTTTATATTCGTAAGCTATAAGAGTTTGATTCGTTAAACATATCTGAGCCATTTGAAAAAAATTGTTACTTATTGTGATAAGTAACAATTTTTTCAGTTGACGTCTCATAATTGTTTTAATTTTGCTATTTTTGAGAGCCCAAGCTTCGATACAAAGACTGAAGCGGAAAAATGGAAGAGTAGATTCCTTACCAAGTTATGTCTCCTTAAAGCTGGGAAATTTGCCAGGTTCCTGCTTGATATGCCTAGACTTGTGACTCAGCTCACCCTTCAGGAAACTCAATGACTTTCGTTTCATAAGATTCACCGTTAGTTCCATATTGAATAATTTAATTCAGCTAAGCTTATTCAGTCCATGCCTGTTTTCTCAAAGTCGAGAAGAAAATCAACTTGGTTTAGTCACCCAACTTTTAGAGAAATAGTTTAATTACCTAAGTTTGAGAGCATCGAAACAAAAAAGGTTCTCTTTCAAGGTGCTTGCTCTGAAAGTGGAAGGGCCGATAAGCAACGGTGAGGAAGAAGCTAAGGTCTTTCCCGATACAAATTCTGCTTTATCAGTCAAATGTTAATTAAAGCGGTGTTTTAAAGTAAAACCTTATTTTCCGCTCTAACTCTTCAATTCCTATTTTACAGTTCCACAACACCTTTCTAGCAAATAACAAAATAAAGCCAAAAAAAGTATCGTTTTAATCTTCACTAAATTTTCAATACTGGCTAAATTTTTCTGTTTGTCTTACGGACTACCTTATCTCGTTCGGGTATGGGAATCTTCTCCAGAAGAGAAATTTGCTTTTCTAATAAAGAGTTTGACGGCTAGCTGCAGTTATTACGGGTACTCCCCGTGCAGCGCATTTGCTTCTGCTGCAATGGAATGACTCTTACTGCTGATAGAAATAAAGTCATTAGTGTTTGAAT